CACATTAAAAGTGAATCTCTGTCCACTCAGTTTACTTCTTGCTCACTATGAACATCATTCATTTTTCTTCCCCAGTAATTAAGGTTAGGATATGTAAATTAATTTTTTTTATTCCAATCCATTCTTCTTTTGCAGCATTTAAATAACCTTTATCAGATTTGATGGTTTTGTTACAGACTTTTCAAAAAAGTGTTTTGCTTTTTCACAAATGTGGGGATTAAATTGTGTTAAAATGTACAAAACAGTCATGTTTTGTGATGAGGACCCAGGCACAGAGAGACTTGATGAATTTAAGAATCTTATGATTTAATAAAGAAATTTGCAGACTTGCACAGAGATGGTAAAATTATGATGACTGATAACGGAGACGAAGACAACAGATGACGAGGACAGGGAGGAACAGAGGTATAAATGCACCAAGGAGACAGTCAGAGAGAACCTGGGATAACTGGAGACATTAAAGGATGCAGGGACTGACAGAGACAGGGAAGAAGTCTCATCGTGACGAGTAAAGTTTATCTTGTCTGGCTGGGCAGCTCTCTGGGTGCTCCACACCCCCAAAGCTCTGATCCTAGAATCCCCCCTGGTTAAAAATGATCTTCTTATGGCACCTGACAGTAACATCATCCTTTTGCTGTCAGAGGCTATACTTCAGTGCATCATTCATTGTTGACCACAATATTTTATTAGAGACATTGGGGCAAGCATTAGGTATTTAAGGCACTGCTATGCAGTGGTTTGAATTTTATCTAGACTCCAACAGATTTTATGCTAGGACCAGTTCTGTTTACTTTGTATATGCTATCATTAGAAGGCATAGCATACATTTTCACTGCTATGCAGATGATCCCCAGCTTTATCTAGCTCTGAAGCTAGATAACACACACCAGTTAGTTAAACTGAAGGAATATCTTAAACACATAACTACCTGAATGACTTCTAACTTTCTGCTTCTAAATTCAGGTAAAACTGAGCATATTGTACTCAGCCCTAAAAATCCTAGAAATATGGTCTCTAACCAGACGCTTTCTCTGGATGACAGTACCTTGGTCTCCAGTATTACTGTGAGGAATCTTGCAACTGTTCTTGGTGAGAATGTGTTCTTCAATGCGCATATTGAACAAATATGTAGGACTGCTTCCCTCTCCTTTTGTGCAATATCTTTCAAATTAGAAACGTCTGATCGTGATGCTAAAAAATGAGTTAGTTGAGAATTACTTTTTGGCTGGACTATTGGATATCATTATTATCAGGCTGTCCTAAAAACTTACTGAAAAGTCTTGAGTTTATCCAAAATTCAGCAAATAGAAAGAGAGAGTGTATTTTTCCTATATTATCTTCTCTTCATTGGCTCCCTGTTAAATCCAGAATCAAATTTAAACTCTGTCTCCTC